CCCATAGCTTTCCATTAGGACCCTCTGAGAGTGTACTGTATGTACAGCACTGCCCCCCCTCCACCTCGTACACACTCACATAATCCCACCCACCCGCACCATTAGTGGGAAGAAGCACTAATAGTGTTGACTGCCTTTAGGGGGGAAAAACACCAAGGCCAAAGGCAGGCTAATGTCCCTCATCTTCTCTGTCCTATTGACTTTATTCATACAGTGTATTAATACAAGCAAAAAAACTGTTACTTTTGGTGTTAGGAAGTTCATAGTCTCACTTCTTTAATGAAATCCAGCAAAAGTTAAGTTTTGCCTTCTAAATAGTCTTTTGTTGGCTTGTTTTTTTTCCCCCTCTTTGATTAGTGGACTGTGAGTATTGACAGCCTGGTGTGTGTGATCATCACAACAAACTGACAGTAGGGAGCTCGATAGCCGTCCTAACCAGCCTCCAATACCATCTGTCTAGTATGGATCTCTGGAGGTTGACGCCTGTTGGCTTGGGAGATGTACACACCACAAGCCTCAAGGGCTGGCAGAACAGAGTTGGAGGAGGTGTATCTGCCCCAATTGAAGCTGTTCAGTCATCTTCACACACAGAATAGGGACCGGTAGAGTATCTCCACTCTTTTTCATGCTCTCTTTCTCTGTCTTTATCCCTCTCTCTCTCTCTCTCTCTCCCCCTCTCACACACACACAGAAAAGCGAGAGCGATCAAACGCGACTGTGATGTCTTAATTAAGAAGTACTAACAGGCTTGATTAAAAGGAGAGAATGAAAGGATCCGTCAGTGAAAGAAGCAATTCCCTTATCAGCCGACGGCAACACAAGTGGATGGGAGAGGAGGGAGTGTAAAGAAAAAGTGAGGGAAGAAAACAGGATGCATCAACAAAATGGAAATATGCAAAGAGAGAAGGAGGGGAACTGAAACATGATTGAATTCATGCAGCAGTGTGATTGATATGGCTTCAACTTAGTTAAAGTATCTGACAAGCAAAAAGTTTCCTTTGACAAAGGCTACATAAGTTTTCATAAGTGACCTCTTGCTGCCGGTATGTATTTAGGATGGAGGTATTTTTGTTTGCAGGCAGCACTAAGAGAGACATTTGGCTGTCAGCGTAATGCTGCAGCGTTACTTTTGGGTCATGTTCTCCAACATGGATATGAAAACAAACAAACCAGGCCATTACCAGTGACGGGCGGTTCTCTCACTCTCTTTGCCCATACCTCCCGCTCTACCCTTTCACGTGTCTCTGCACTTTTAAAGGATTCAATTAACCTGAAATGAACTAAGGAATCAAGCGTCCTATTCTCCACTCCAGTTCTCTCTTGTCCCTTCTGGCCCCACCAGTTATTTCTCCTCTTCCTCTTGTTTAACTCCTTTATTTAGTTTGTGCAACAGTTTAAGGAAATACAGTAGCAATGATAAGTAAGAGAACCCTGTGCTAAGTTAAATACTAATACTACTACTACTACTACTACTACTACTACTACTACTACTACTACTACTACTAATAATAATAATAATAATAATAATAATAATAATAATAATAATAATAACAACAACAACAACAACATTATCTTCTTAAAGAAATATACTTGACATTTATTATTTAAAGACAATTCTGTTGCACAGTGTGAAATTAAGGGCCAAACCTATTAAAACTACTCAAATCATCTTCTTCTGAATATCCCAATTGCCCAGAAAAGATTTGATAATTGCTACACAAAAATCTGTTAACTTTGCTTTTTTGACTCATTGCTGTGGCTCTTAAAAAACATATGAAAACAAGCCGAAGACAATAAACCTACAGCCACCGTTCATTAACTTCATAATGAGCACTTTATCAGGGTAATTTGCTGTGCTAATGTTGTCACTTTATGCAATAGGATGATTACAGTAGTTTAGAGAAACCCTTGTCTTAAAAGCCTCATACAAACACTGGCAGAGAGGCAACAAAGGGATGGATTTGTAATGACTGGCTTGCCAAGAATGCCAAGGTGTAATTGTAGATCGCAACTCTGTCACTTCACCCTCTCCTTGAAGCATAAAGGTGAAATTACAGTGGCCACAAAACAAGCGGAAAACCTGACTGCTCCGATATACAGCCAGTGTTTGGTTTGTCCCTTCTGGGCTACTGTAGAAACATGGTGGTTGACTATGGAGGATACACTAATGAAATCATACTTATGAATATCATATTCCATTCCTGCCAATAGATCCTCATTAACGTTACACCCTGAATGTTTAGCAACTGGCTTGGCACAAACAAGCAATAACGCCTTGTCATTTATGTACATTATTGAAAATGCTCAAATATTGAATTCAAAATCCTAAACTGAATCTGAGTTTCCTTTGCCAGAGTAATTACTTATATCTTGCCTGTAGACATTTAACAGATCATCTAGTATAGCGACAATTCATGAACATACCCTAACCAAGATGTTTTTTGTGCCTGAACCTAACCAAACCTTAACCACAGTGGTGTAATATCAGAAAACAGTTTTTCAATCTAATAACTAATAAGCCTTTGACATGTTTCAAATATAAATCGGTAGGTAGACTTTCCAAATAAAGTGCTACCATAACTTAAACAATGTAATCAATCTGTTAGCCCATATGGCAGATTTTGAGCATGATATTTCAGATATACAACTACTTACCGTAGCAATAATATGACAATACACTTCGGTTCTGTCCCCCTCTATTCTAATAGAGGCAGCAGACACACCTCAGGCCTGCTGACAGCCCACAGCCTGACTCTGTGGTGCTGCATAGCTCAGCACAGCTGTCTGTTGTCCGTTTCTTCCGATCTCTATCTCTTCCTGCCTCCCTCCCAGCTTTGTGCCCACTCAGCATGATAATGATATACACCTCTGCCCGGTCATCTCTTTGAAAGTCTGGTCCCCTGTCACAACTCAAAGTATGCCAGCAAGACCAACATACAGGATGTATCTACATACTTCAAGCAATAGTCAGCTCACATTTTGGTACTATATGAGGAGAGTCTAGTCAGGAATAATTGTGACAAATAATAATCACTTGAGGTTACACTGGCCTCTCTCTTTTCTTGAGAAGAAAAAAACAGACAGATGCTTACTATAACTAAGGTGATGGGAATCCTCAATCTTGTTCTAATAATAATAATAATATTGCTTAAATCATTATAGGTTTTTCATCCACTGCGGTTTGAGCTACATTAGTAAACAGTCAGAGCTCCCTCTATGGGGCAGTATCTTTAAGAGGTCATGCTAAGATTACTTGTGTCAGCATTTCAGCTGAACACTGGCACCGTGTTGACACGCAGCAGATGAATATTAAACCTTGAGAAACAAAGATGTGCTTGAAGCAAAACCCTGCATAAATATTTTTCATATGCACACATACACACACATACACACACGCTCACACAGTCTTGAGCGTCCCTCCCAGCAGGCACAATCACACTCAGTCAGATAATTCAGTGTCACAGGGAGCCTTGTCTCTGACCCTCTGGCCCCCTCCAGACAGTGGAAGCAGCTGGACAGGGACCCACGGCTGCCTGGAACTCACTTCCCCTGGGGAGCTCTAAGGAGAAGAGTCCCTCTCTGCCTCGGAGAATGACCAGCTGAGTTTCCACAGCTCTGTGCCATTATGTCCCTGTGTCCAGGAAGGACTAAGCAGGGCGAGAAGGGCATAGAAATGTGCAGCAGTGCAGGGCGTCTTGTGAGAGTCAGCAGGCAGATAAAAAAAATATGATGTCACAACCAGTTTAGTTTTTCCCTCTGGTCAGATATCTGTAAAGTTGCCACTTAAGTCACTATGATCTGCTCTAGGCTCTGTAGTGACAGAGAAGTTTTTCCTGTGTGTGTGCTTGTGTTTGAATTTTACCTGCTGTTCAGAAGTGAAAACATTAATAATTTATTTTAGCTTCTGTATTATTCAGATTTTGAATTTAATTATTTTGAATACAAAACCAGGCTGTACGGCTAATACACTACTGCCACACTACTACTTCCCCTATTAAGTCCATGTCATGCACATGTGCTCCTGTAAAAGACCTGTTAGGAATAATTGTGCATTGTATTGTATTTATGATCAAGAGGTCAGGTTTCTCCACCAGAAATCTTCAGTGGCTGTGTTTACCAATTTTCTCCATACCTTGATAACAGAAACCATGTTCACTCAACATTTGGTTACTACAGAAAGCTGACAATAACGCTGTGTCTTGAGTGCATGTAACATACTATGTGTGAGACTCAGATTTGGTTCCACACACACACACACACACAAACACACAGTGTATTCAGTGGTGAGCGAGGCCCTTACTAAGTGCTTATTAATATTGTATGGTTAAATGGGAAATGTTAACATTTTTTCAATTGCCTTGGCAGCCTAATGAAATATTAAACAATAAGAGAGCTTTTGTTTTACCATAATACTAAGAAAGGGTAAACATGAAATTAATAACATCTTTTTTTTTAAGGGAATGAGACAGGTCTTTTCTGAGGTCATAGTTTGTACACATATATCCCTGTCTAAAGCACAAATATCCTACAAATATGTGGCTTAGGTGCATTTCAGAAAAATTTAAATAAAACAATTAAATTCAACCAAGTAGCCATACCAATATACTGTTCGGTATGATTTGTGCTTTAATTTTTTTTATTTAAAACTTAATTATTTGTGTGTCTTATTAGTGAATGAGCATGATCTTCAATATAAAGATCATGCATCTAATCTTTTCCTCTGCTGTCACTCTGCCATTAGCAGTTCTACAGAGACACAGCTTTACTCACTGCTCACACTATGCTATCCTACAGTGCTGCACAGCTACAGCCAACACACTGGAATCCCCATATGACAAAGGCCTCGTCAGTTGTAAAACAGTCAAATTAAAAAGTAATTGTAAAAAAAAGGTTCTACGATTGCAAAGCATCTTTCCCAAAAAAACATACCTTCGAAATACAGAGTGTGAGCCTGTTTAAATCGCTATGATTAAAGAACAACCACTTTTTAAAATAAAATGTTAAATAAATATCAGCTTTATTCAAAAATGTTTGAAAACAAAGTAATGTACAGTATGAACACTGAATCAGTCAATCTGAGTCTGAATCAGTTTTAATGATCCGTCTGGTTGGGCTTTCACTGAGGGTCCCAACACTATGTGGCGGCCAAAGCTGGATAGGACAAAGGGTGCAGGGAAACAGTGGGTTAAAAGAGAGATAAGACTCACAGAATAACAAAATAAAAGACATTAAGTACCACACTTTATCTCACGCATTTGCTAATAGGGCTTTTAATGATGTGTTTGACTTCATAGAAGATCTTGTTATTTCGTCAGCTGTTGTAATAGGGCCTCCAGTGGAGTGCCGCTGTCCAATCAGATGGACAGAAGGTTGGCTGACCTGTTTCCAGGGTCGTGGTTGCTATGACATCCAGTGACATGACAACACAGCAGAATGGAAAGCTAGACAATATGTTATCCAGGCTTTGGTCAATCAGACACACTTGCTTTGAACTTCCAACTGACTCATGTCTCTGAATTGTGTTTAAAATGGCCATACTGGACTGATGATAAACCAAATGAAGAAAATAAAAAACCCCACCATGGAGCTCAACACCTCATTCTGTTAGAACCCATATATGAGAGAAACCTAGTTTCTCTGGTTTTGCAAAATAACACATTTATGGTATTGTTTTTAAACACATGACAACATTACAGTACACCTTGCCTGTTACCTTTAAGCAAACACGCCCTCGGATGAGGGCATAGGGAATTGGGCCATAGCTCCTTGAGTCACTGGAATTCCTAAGGTTATCCCCTTCTAGCCATACATGGCCTTTTGGAACCTAAAAACATCACCAACACACGGAAAGAAGGCAAAAAATGATTAATGTTTTACCCCACAACAAAATACATCAAACAGAAAGCAAATATCAGCATTTGCAGCACTAATTAACTTTAACATGTAAAAGGGAGTTGACCTATAATGTAGTGAGAATCCACCTTAACCCCACCCCCTACCCCCAACGAGTCACCTAAGCCATCCCTCCCTCCCTCCTCAGCCTATCTTAACGTCAACCTGCCCGTCCCTCTTTAACCCCGAACCGTCTTAGGAGAGGGGTCATGGGTAACGGGCAGGGTCGGGGGGGATTTAGAAGAACTTCAAACGGGGTCATTAGGCTGTTGGCTGAGATCTGCGCCCCTCTTACCCAGGGAGGGCAAAGCAAGAGAGGGGCCTGAGATAGCAGGGCAGGGAGAGAGAGAGAGAGAGAGAGAGAGAGAGAGAGAGAGAGAGAGAGAGAGAGAGAGAGAGAGAGAGAGAGAGATAGAGACATAGAGAGAGATGGAGAGGGAAAGAGGGAGCTATAGAGGGCTAAGCTGCGGCTAGCAGCAGTGTCCAAGGGTCTCCACTGCGGTCCGACCTGCCAGTGGGGCGGTCATCCAAGCGGGCTCTAATTCACAGTGACACCAATTATGATTAATCTCATCACTTTAGGAGAGTAGGCTTGTCAAGGCCCTAATTAAGTGCGCTGTCCCCCCTATATGTGCAGACAGGATCAACAACACATTATATTGTCATAATGGGCATCACAATCCACGAGTCTATTTTTGTGTTGCCTAACTTTTTAACGGCAAAAGTCCTCTGGAGGAAAGAGAATAACATGAACAGAAACAGAATATTATCCAGAGTGAGGTGACGTCACATCTTTGCCTCTGCTCGTGTTCCTTATTCCCATCACCCGGCTCTCTGATTAGAGTCTTCAGTCCTACTGTGAGATGCTGCGTTTTGTTTCATATTCAATAATTGAGACAGATGATGTGACATAATCACGAGCCAGTGACATGTTGACCTAACATGAGGTAAACAACTCACTGAATAACGACGACACAAATGAATATCATTAAAGGAGTCATCTGAGAACCATATGTCAGCATGCTGGATTCCCACCATTACACCTCATTAACATGGTAACATATGCTGGCTCCCAAGCACAAGAAAAAGAAACACCACCGTTTGTCATCTGCCAAACCAGAACCCCCTGTTTCTGTGCATCATCCTCTTTAATAAAAAAAGAAAAAAACCATCATCGTCACTGTGCTCTTCCTAATGATGTATAGCTTTGATTAAGACGTTTCAAGTGTCTGTCCAGAATACGGTGAAACCACCGTGCACACACAAACTTAATTTTTAAAAAAGGAAGCGTTTCTTGACATTACTTCTGTTCCATGTAACCACCACTATGAAGGTCAATCAATCTGATCAACAACAGCAAAAGAAAGCACTTTGATTTTGAGTCCCCATTAAACAAATGACCTCAAAGAGAAACCCAAACCTGAGTAAAGACAAAAGTACCTCTAAGGATCAACCAGGCCGTATTTCAGAAAAGTGAGAAAGTGAAGAGGTCTGAAACTTGACCTGCCATACCGTGGCTCGAATGAGGATAAAAGCTTATGCGTATCACCTTGCAAGTCGCAGGTGTGTGAACGAGGGGAGAAAGAAAAAAAACGTAGTAAGTCAAAGGCAAACCTCTGAATTAAAACTAGGTTGATGCAGAGCAGAAGTGTAACCAGATAGTGCACCTTCCTTGACTCTGCCTTTCAAAGACAACTGCTGTTTCAAGCACCTGTAAATAGCCACAGCACCGTGAGCGTCTCTTTTTTTTGCATTTAAGAAGGTTTTCTGTAGACGGGGTGGTGTGGAAATACCTGAGTAATTCACCATTTTAGCATATAAACAGTATCGACATGCGATTTAGGCATCGGGACAGATGAAACTGTCATCAACAGATTTTGTTTCCAACCACACAGATTTTCAAAGATCCAACAAAGATTTGCAGTATTAGATATAGATGTGGAGTCACTCTGATCCGCTCTGCTGTGTTGGATGGCTGAGATTGCACTAGTCCTGCGGTTGTAGGCTGGGTTGACACCAGGCATTGTGTACCTGTCAGAGATGTGTCGAGAAGCACCGAAACTGGAGCCTCTCGTCACAGTGGAGGTGTGCTGTTTAACAGCCACACAATTACAGTGCTCATTATGTTAACATGATTAAGGCGGTGAATTATGTTCAGCTTAAATACATACAGGCTTACTAATCTAAACTTACTCGTCTTTCATCATAGAACTCTGTCTATGTTTACTGCAAAGAACAGAACGTATGGGGACATTTCATCGCTCTCTCTCTGTGTCACCCTCTCTCTCTCTCTCTCCCGCTCTCTTTGCTATAATATTAAGGATCAAGTGTCATTGTTTTGACACAATAGCTCAGGCACAGAAATGATTCCTAAAAGGTGACAGGGCAATTAGTCTGCTGTTGGATCTCTGAGGGCGGAGAGGAGCTGCCTGTCTGTCAGAACAAAAAAAGGAGGTGATGACAGGGTCTAACACCGCCTTCCAAAATTCATCTTTACAGGTCCACCCATAATGCCTCACACCATCAATAGTCGCACAAAAACACATACATCCTCTGGGGAGAAACTAAATCCCTGAGGGAGCCCAAACATTTATGTGAACAGCGGGTATTTTGTCAGTTACCTCAAACACTTTCATAAAGCAAGTGATTTTCCTCCTGGGAGTTAAAAAAAATTAACACCAGGAAGCATAAATTAGGCTGCATGATATAAAACAAATACTTAGTGACAATCAGCTTTATGAGGACGAATATAATGGTTGATTCAAGCTTCTCATCTGCTTCTTCTGTGAAGCTGACAACTGTAACAGTTTAGAGTAGAAAAGTATTACAAATATACATGCAACATAGGCGACAAAAAATAAGACACAAGCTCACTTTCTTATGCTAACAAATGCAATATTTGTCTCCCTCCGCCTCCCCCTGCATTATTTTACAAATTAAAACAATAATTTGATCAGATAAAATTAATAGAACTGACATGCTGGATTGTAAGCATTTGAAAAAATGGTGGGCCATTTAAATACAGTGCCACATTGTCATGAATCAGTACCTTTTTTAAGCAGTTTTACATTTCCATAAAAACAGCATGTAGGACACAAAGGTAAAGCAGTACCAACACAAAAACAGTCAGATGTGGCGACAGTACACACTGTACTGTGTTCTTCAACAGATTCTAAACTACAGACAAAAAAAACCCTGAACTGTTGGATTCACCACATGCACTGAGTGAACAGAGGAACACTATTTGTATGTACTTTCACACCATAGCTAATGTAAATCTCACTTGTATGAATTTTAGTTGTAGAGATTTTTTCAAATCTCAAAGTTGATTTGAGTCAAATTGCCACAGTACACACAGCCAAAAAGAGTGATATATTTATCCCGGAATGATGTATGGTTGAAGAAATATCAAGAAAAGACAAGAAAAAATACATTTTGTTGGGAGTATCATGAAAACACTGGCTGTCCATTTTACATAAAGGGTTACATTTGAAATTTGATAAAGCTACACTATTTACAAAATTCCTGTTTGAGAAATCACATTGTTGCACAATAAGCCCTTTAAAATCAGTCTCAGCAACCCTGATTAGATCCCTAAAATATACACTAAACCAATTAGTGAGAAGTAGACTTAATTAATTGGGATTCATTGGAAACAGGTGAAGGAATGTACAGCTTTGAAGATTTACAAAGTAACCTGAAACATACCAACAACAAATATACCGTGCCATGCCAAGATACCATCAGCTATTGATTGGTTTGGGTAGCTGTGAGATACAAGTGAATTGAGTGAGGGCGCATCCAAAATGAATAGAAGTCAGTAAGCTTCATCCTGAACGTGATGGACATACCAAAATATAGTAGCTGTCCATCTGGTGGCAAGTTTAAAAATGATTTAAACTGAAACTTCTGACTACATCCTGGGACCCCAGAATCACAACGCAGTGTATTACAAGTTCAGTCCTCTGTATGTGGAGGTGAAGCTAGAAGAAGAGGAAACCTCTTTATTTCCTGTTTGATTTGTTGAATGACACTTACAGGCTTGGCCTTATGCTGTGTTTTGCTGAACTCATTCAACAGTCTGCCCATAGTCTATAAAATACACAATAAATTCAAAAACATGCAACATAAACGCAACCTTTGGTTCGCGGACGTATGCGCGCACACATACACATACACACACACACACACACACACACACACACACCTCCGCCCACCCATCAGTCTGTCCATTCGGCTGGCACTAACTCTAACAGGCTTCAGAGAGATTGCAGGCCTGAGCTGTGGGCGTTGGGGAGAGTAGTAATAGAAAAGCAATGACAGTGGTTTCAGCAGCAGAACCCCTGCTCACTCTCTGGTTTTATCACTGTTCTGAGGAAATATAGGTGTTGTCAAAAGCTGATATTTTGACCAATGACACAAAATGGATGTGTGCGGTCTAAAATGTAAACAACTATGATAGGATATAGACAAAGAAATCCAAAAACTGAGAGACAGTTTTGCATTATGCATAGAGGTTCTGTCAAACTATCAAGTGTTTTGTTGTAAACACATTCTTCATTCATTCTCTATTTTACTGTAACTTTTTAACCTTTTTTTCCCCTTACAAAAAGACAGTGGTTCTTGTTGGATTCGTAACAGTAAAACTGCCACCAGGAACCATACTTGGTAAAGCAGGTAATCACAGGATGTATAAGAAGAGCAGCTGAAAAGCACGACACTTACCAGGATGTAAACATACTCACATATTTGTGGGTTTTGAACAGATCAGATGGGCCACTTGTGCAGATCTTGTCACCCTCCAATCCAATTACCCTTTTACAAATGTTCATATTCGGGTCAAATGGACTCTTTGCAATTACTATATCACCCCTGAAAAGAAAACATAATCCCAATCAGTTCATTTGTAACAACGCAGAGTGCATTCATTCACAGAAAATTATAAATGTCTCATATTATCTATGGTATTTGTAGTAAAATGCTGCCGTTCTTTCCTTTAATCCTTAAATGGCCTAAAAAATGTAAATTGTGTTAAATTGTGTAAACTGATTATATATATTTCAAAATGATTACTGTGTCCTCTTTTTGCCTACTGCACATAAATCCACTGACTGGAACCCACTTTTGTATTTTGCAAAGATGACGACTCATCCGTTCAGAGAAGACAATATCATGGTTGACAATGGTGGGCTCCATGGATGGACCAGAACACTACCCACACCAAACAACAACAACAAAAAAAGCAATTATTTCTTGTGCATAGATGAATTCATATAATTTGAAAAGAAAAAGTCATTAGTTCTGTAATTGTAATGATACGAACCACCACAACTTCTCCAATGTATTCAAAGGCACAATGTGCAATGCAGCCATACTGGACCGTGTAGCCCACAAACCCCAAGGTCTTCAGCAGCACACTGCGGAACATCTCCACCTACAGCACAAAACACAACCATACATTATGGCACAATGTCAGTGTACATAGCTGTGAAATGCTCAATTTATACAGCAGTGAGTAAATGATTCACTGCTTTGATCCATTTATGGTAGGCTTATGCCACTTCACAGGGTTTTTGAAAACAAAAGCTGTTTGGGGTTTCATTTGTAAAGGTGTGGACAAGGTTGTCACAGTTGGCCTACTGCTAAGATGGCACATTCCCTGGTGTTTCATTCTCAGAGGCTGAGCGGCCAGTTCACAGCAAAAAACTGCCCTGAACTTTGATCCTGTGTAGGATGGACCAATCAACACCTTGCGCTCAGGTGATGGACAAACACAGAAGCTGTGACACGTCCAGCCGAGCAGCTCTGCACTGTCTGCAGCTAGTCCCTGACACTGTGCTGCCTCCGCTACCACCGCAATCATTAGAGCGGTTATCAACTTCTGTCAGTACCATAGAAACACAGAGACACCCCCAGCACCCGTCCACCCACCCGCCCCGGTAAACACTCTCGGTCACACAAACACACACAAGGACTAAGCATGTGTCTTCTGAGCAAACATCCCAGCCACACTCAGGTTATTGACTTTTACTCGAGCTGCAACCTGTTGGATGGACAGAAGAAAGTAAGTAAATCTTTACACACTGTCATGCACAGTGTGTGTACGCAGGCACACCTGCACACGCACACACACACGCACACACACACACACAAATACACACACACACACACACACACACACACACACACACACATACACAAACAGACTGAAACTGTATGTTTAGAAAAGAATAGATACAGCTTGGCTTGGAGGTTAGTCTGCACTTCAAACATTTTTAGCTCATGCCGCTGTCCTGCCAGTCCACCACAGGGTAAAGAAATCGTTTTCTCCGTCTCCCCTATTCCTTCTGTCTCTTTCTCTTTTTCTCTCTCCATGTCTTCTCTCCCTCCCAGGGTATTATTAACCAAACCAAGCAGAGCGGAAACCAAAGCCCCAAATCCTCAGAGCTCTGGGAATGACTTCCCAAAGATGGACATGGATTAGACCCCCAACTTCTCCCTTGCCCCACCACCTCCACCCCCCTTTCTCCCCAGGTCCCCAACAGACCGGGTGTCAGGTGGCTCTCCCAGCCCTGCCAAAGGTGTTACCCCTAATCCCATTACCCCCCTGTGCTCTTCTCACACACACAAACACACACACAATGCTCTCTCATTCATGCCAACTATATTCCACCTATTAAACCCTCTATCTATTCTTTCATCGCTAGCGTGGTTTGTCTCTTTGGCCCATTCGCCATCGTCTCTGATCCAAAAAAGACCAACTCTATCCTTTTACCTCCTTGTGTGCTGCTTCTCCGCTCTTCCCTCTGTTCCCTGATCACCCCTGGCAACCCTCTGCTTTTTTTTTTGCCACCACTGTGAATGACAGTGCTCGAGAAGGTGAAGGGGGACTCATATACACTCAAATGAGGTGCCCCTTTCCAGCCACAGCCTGCTCTGGTCTCTTGTTATGTTCCACAGGAACTATAAACTCAGTCCTGCCACAGCTGGTACAATAACACCTCTGGCCCTATAATTCCTCTGTTGGGAAGCAAGTGGTCTAAAGGTTAATGTGAATCTCGGGTCTACACTAAGGCGTCATGTTCAGATCTATTTGTCTTGCTCTCAGCTTCCTCCACCAGCATCTCTGTCATTGCGATACTGTAATGCACTTGCAGACATGATCTCACATGTGCTCTCCCTTCTGCTAGGCTGGGGATCAGGAATCTTTTTGCTAGCACTCATTCGCAAAGCACAGTAGACAGCCTCCCTTACAGCTGCCCTCATATCTCTGTTTCAGCTCCCCCCCCCCTCCATTCCAGTGTGCATTCATCATAGGTAGGGATTAAGGGACTTTGCATAACAAGATCACACAGCCAGTGACTGATATCAAGAGAGTCCATATGCAGCCGCCTGGTTTTCTGAGGCACCCTCTGTCATTGATATTGTGTGTCTATGTGTGTGTGCATGTGGTGTGAATGTGCACAGACAATAGCATTACCTATGTGTTTCATACAAAGTGTATATATGAGCTGCAGTTACTCCTTTGGGAGTCAGAATGAGGTGGACATCCAGAGAGACCTCTGATTGGATCTTTATTACCTCTAATTCCCCCGAGCATAGAGTCAGGCAACCCACACTATCTCTTGCCCCTAATACCCAGCCCATGTGTGTGTGTGTGTGTTGGGGAGTACCAACATTAATTGAATGCTGTATTACAGCTGTAAATTAACACAAAGTCTCTCTGTTAATCCAGGATTACACGCCAAACATGTTCATGGGAAAACAAAGAAAGTCAGTGCAGGCCCTCTCTGCAGAACCATCTGTGGCCACCGGCCTCCTGTGGTCACAGCACAGCGCTACAGTGGGGAAAAGAGGGGGATCCCAAATGAATAGCTACCGATGGAAACACACCATTGTGTGTTTAACTCTGTGATCCTCTTACCGAGGGAGCCCCATTTCACTCAGGGCAGAGCAATCACAAGTAGATGAATTAATTAATTTATTTTTTTTAAATCTCATCCATGAGCAGTGCAGCAGTGGTAGGGATGCCTATCACTGTGTCCACCCAGCTGTCAAAAGCATTTTAAGTGAATAATTTGAAACACTGCAAAAATAAAATGTGAACAAGGTGTTTTTCATCTGCATCAACACAAATAAAGAGGTTTCCTGAACGTCACTATGACGGACACATCCACGGGAAAATGAAAACTGATAAGCATTGGGCAAGTTGTTATTATTCTTTCACAACATCAAATGTGACGATTCCAGGATGAAAACAATGTACTGACCTTGGCAATATTTTAATCTTTAAGGAAATTGTCATTTATGGCTGGTAGCCAGTCCATCAACACATACGACATTTCTTAAAGGTTGTGATTTACAGATAACTACTGCCAATGTCATTACTATTTCTATTTAAAAAAAATCCACAATGATTTTTATGCAGATAAAACATTCTGCTTCAAATCAACAAAAAATTGGAAAAAAAAAAAAGATAATTTGTTGAAGTTACCCAGCCAGTTCCACAGGCCTTTGCCAATTATCATTGGAGTACTTCACTGGAAACTATGTAAGGAATACAGTATGTGTAGGAGCAGCAAGCAAAAAAACTAAAAAGTTTATAACAAAGTCAATAAGAACATATCAAAATTGACACCTAAACAAACACACATTATTGAAGCCATAAGGAAATATTCAAAAAGGAATTACCGCTACTGGTCTCAAGAGATCTGAACCTGCCATTGGCTGAATAGTGTTAATTGATATACATGGCCAGTCTATTAGAACCACAAAGAGAATCTCAATCCAAACAGTGCGTAAGGCCCTTGCAGTGGACTCCTTACACAACTAAATTAGGAAAACATGGGCTGAGAGAGAGCTGGGCAACAGGGGGGCTAAGAGGCTTACAAGCCCCTTGTCAGATATTCTTCTTCTCCCTGAGGATCCCAGATGGAAGGGAGTCTGGAGGAGCAGGCAGCACTGGAGAGGGAACGAATCCCACCTCTGATGTTCTCCTCTGGGCAGCAGAAGGCAGAGGAGGGTGGGGCATTAGTCCTGTTGCGCAGAGCTTGATTTGATCTTAATGTGAGCTATAAAAAGGAGGAGGTTAGGCAACCAGGGGGGTCTGTTTCAACTATCAGTCCAATCAGAGATAATCCTGCTGATTTAGACACAGGCACCTGGCTGGATGGAGGGTGACAGATGTAGAAGTCCCAGTCACAGAGTACTATGTCTAGCCCCCATCTTTTCTAGGTCTGCCTTTTATCAGAGGCTTAATTGAAGCAACTGATCTCCATATTGCTCTTTTCATTGTTGCTAACGGCAACACAGCCGTGAAACAGCTGAGCGAGGTTACTATTTGAGGAGCTGAGGGTTTAAACCTACAATCAATGGGTCAGCCAGAGCAAATAATAGCCAAGTGATATGAATACAACTGCTATGAATTGAAAGGAAGTGTGGGTTGACAGAGTCCCCAGCCAATTAGACAGAATGGAAAAATCAGCCACTAAGCCTTATTGTATTGACCACAAGCAAACGCGTGGTGCTGGCCTGGTGCTGAGAGAATTGAGAGATCTTATCTGATGTTGTATCAGATTGACAAAGGAGTTTGTGTTTTGCACTCACCAGCTCATGACAAAGCCTGCTATATTTTAACACTAGCTAATGACAGACACCTCAACCCAAAAGCAAACCTATGATTTTTAAGAATGTGATTTCCTTTCATTCTAAATGAGCATGTTTTATGTATTTTTTCATTTTTTTCTGTCCTGTAGGTCAAGCTAAATATGCCTCGCATGTCTGCAAAAAAACAAATAGCAGGAAATCAAAATAAAGATATGATGTGGAAGATGTGGAATAAATGGAAAAAAGTCCAATCCTTAGACAAAACTAGCTGTGTACAAAACCCATTGCTTTTTGCACTTGTGGCAATATTATTATTAACTTTTATTGCCTTTATTACAGTGACAGCTGAAGACAGACAGGAAAGGGGGGCAGAGAGAGGGGATGACATGCAGCAAAGGGCCGCAAGTCGGATTCGAACCCTGGGCCGCTGCTACCAACTGAGCTAACCGGGCTCCCAATATTACTTTACTTTCAACGCTAACAAAACAAATATGTTGCATGCTGATGATAATCTTACATCCCCCGGACAAAAGAAGTCTCCCGCTTCTCGCAGTTCCACACTGATGGCACAATTATACTGAAGAAACCAAAACACCCTGACCAGGAAAGGTCTGACATGTTATGACTACTGCCATTATATAGCTCAATCAGATTCAGAGAGTGATAAAACTGACAAAAACACTGCAGAAAAACACACACATGCGTAGATGACACTGACGCAATGAAAGGCGGGGGGGGGACTGTATTATTTTTGTACAGTTAGCCTACTGTGTTTACACTACCACAAACTGAATTGTACTACAGCGTGGGTTAAATTGGGATTTAAGAGAATTGGAAATGAGGTGACTGGCACTGTGCAGAGGATGTGCAGAAATGTCCACAGCAGTGTACTGCTACATCCTGCACGTTGCACTGCTGAAGCAGGCTCTCCTCCTTCTGAGATGCAGGTCAGTCAGCGCATCTTATGCGTCTCATATAGGCTTTCCACAATGCCCAGTGTTGTCAGTCATGATATATTCCCTTGGTCTCCTGTCAGCACATATAAATCTCAACAGTGCTGTCAAAACAGCAGGACTGCCTCTGCTGAGAGCATTTGTAAAGTGAGCAGTTGGGCTATTACTTCCTCTGGAGCCTTACAGTATCCTGTGATCTTGTGCTGCCTCTGGCCTTTCTCTGCCACACAAAGCTTTTTTACAGCTGTCTTAAGGATTAGACCGACTTCTCATCAGTCAGCCAGTATTAATAGTGGACATTATACAGTACAAAAGAAACTGGCCTTTCCTCCAGCATTTGCTTAAAGGTCCAGTGTGTAACAATTAGGAGGATCTGTTGGCAGAAATTGAATATATCAGGCATTAGTATGTTTTCATTAGTGTATAATCCTCTGGAAAAAAAAGTCTCCCAAGAAATAGATCAATTAGCTGCTGAACAAAATGCTACACTGCGTTCCACATTTCAGTGCTGACCAAACCTGAACAAACTCATGCATGAATACAAAGTATTTTACTTATCATGAGAGTGATCAGTTTTAATGTTGGAGACTTCAGCACACAGAGGGGCAGTCAAAATGTACTCAAGCAGTGTGCAAGATTTAGTGGCATCTAAATGGTAAATGGACTGAACTTATATTGCGCCTTTCTAGTCTTCCGTCTACTCAAAGCGTTGTGCACTACATCACCTTCACTTCATCTGTACACATTCACATAATGGCAGCAGCTTTCGCACAAGGTACCAACTGCTCATCAGAAACAGAAACTAAGGGAATTCACACACATACATTTACAGTATCTGGAGAAATTTGGGGTTCAGAATCTTTCCCAAGGAAACGTTGACATGCAGCAGGAGGAGCTGGGGATTGAACCCTCTGATTAGTGGACGACCCGCTCTACCTCCGGAGCTACAGCCGCCCCATCTACCAATGTAGTTGCTGAAGCTTTTCACCTCACCCTCCTGTTCCAAGCATGTAGCTAAGTAGAGTGGTCTCAAAACTTGCAATAAATGTCAAAGGCCCTTTCTAGAGGCACTTTTGGATACAGTAGAAACAGATACAGTCGGACCCCATAACCCTATAGATAAAAACGGCTCATTCTAAGCTAACAATACACAACAGTTATTATTTTCTGGTGATTATACATTGATAAAAACATACTTATGAATATCATATTTCATTTATGTCAATAAATCTTCCTAAAGGTTTCACACTGGACCTTTACATAGATTCTAATGTTCCAATAATTGATTTTGTGCTGCACAATAGGCTCATATTTGAATGCCAATTTGGTATTTTTTAATAACATATTAAGAGAGTATTCTGAACAACTCCAAGTCAAAATTAGATCAATGATTATATAAAATGTAATTACTGCACTTAAATTAAATGTTTTTAACAATGGTAAAATCTACAATATTATAGTACCCATTCTCAAACGATTTATAGACCAGGGCTCTCTGCAGCACTATAGTAGTTCATTATAATACTGTTTTGTCATACATTTTACCTTTATCAATAAATTGCGAACTTGTCGAATCTTGTCGATAATATTTCAATTAATTGTGCAGCCCTAATATCTAATGTATATTTTCCACCTACCTTTTCAAGAAGACTAGTTGGATCTAAAATGCTCCAATTTAAAAATGAGAATACCAGCAGCTCATCATTAGGTTACACTCAGCTGAATTGTTGTAAGCTGTTCTGTGTTGGCATTATCAACTTTAAACCATGTGCTCATTTACCCATGTGATGTTCATTTTCAAATTCAAAACTGTTAAGGTTTTGCTGGAGCTCAACACATCCATCCACAGCACCTCCTGAGCCCTCCAAACTGAATGTGATTGGGGAAGTGATGCACAGGGATCCACAGTGTATGTCACTGTCATCTTAAAATGACTGCAGTGTATATACCCACAAGTAAACTGTGTTTGGTGCTACCACGTGCACAGGCACATAACTCATGATGCATTTGTACAACTGCAATTAATGACTTATTATATAACATTACATAAGACCTACTATAACCTAAGCATGTTAGTTAGTAGACCAACAGATTCCTAAATTCGGTTCTACAAAGGCCAATCTAATCTAATCTAATAGTAAATATAATAGGATAAAGTCATATACTCTCTTACAGCACAGTACTTTATATAGTGATACACTGTGACCAACATCATAAGATACTAATTTTGGCATTTGGCATTTGCCGGCAACAAGCATTTCTTTTCTATTTAAACATTTATAATATAAAAAGAACGTTTTATATTGTAGTAATTTGCTATTTGGTGTGTTGAATTAAATATCTGCACACACTGTGAATCATAAAAAGCAAACTCTGGCAGTTATGGCTGCTTTACATACAGTTGTGAGTAAGATCACTCATTTACAGGTTGCTGTGTGTGTGATAAACATAGTGGCACTTAAAGTAATCTATTATGCAGCGAAGTAATTTAGTGTACGACTGATTTCCTGCTTACTGAACATCATTTCCGCATGCATATATGTAGGCTATGTTCTCTTTTATTGACTTATATACAGTGGGCCTTCGTGGCGTGATATATCAAATATTCTCGCACCTACATTATAATAGTTTTACAGTTTTGTAGTTCATTCTTGCCTGGTTGCTAACCAAGAGATGGTCTGTGGTTGCAAACGAGACAATGAAACAATATTGTGGTTCTGTGTTATGCAATGAACCAACAAGGTCAGAGTCGAAGCCATGCGTTAGGTGACTTTTTAATGGAAGGAACAGCTGTGGATCATTGCCAAGTACGTACACACTCAGGTTTTTGTAAACAGAATACAAATAAATAAAGTGACTTAATCAACAGAGCTTTACTCACCTACTGGGTGATTCAATGCTCCTCCGAACATGCAGTTCAAAACAAAATTCCACTTCCTTTTCACAGCGTCCAAGGGCTCCGTTACAATCGCTGCTCTCATTGGTCGAGCACCAGCAAAGTCTTCTCTGATTGGACAACACGTTCCAAAACATCAACAGGCGTCACCACGTTAGAAGCAGTATGGCAGCTCCCATGAGCAGTGCGGGGAAACCCTCAGCCGAGCGTTCACCGTTCAATACTACGAGTTTTCAGAAGAAAACAAGGAGCAGGTTAATCTCCATACCTGGTACCAGACCGTCGGTTCAAAATGGACAGCTCTTAGTTTCCACCGGTGTCACGTCTCTCGACTATCTGCTCGGTCAGTTTGCTGTTGAGGTTCAACGCTAGCACTAGCTACAGAAGCTAACAGTGTTTCTCAATGTATCGTCAGCTAGACACACTGAAGTTGGATGCAGAATATTAGTGTTGTTCATTTTCTCGAAGGGGAACTGTATGGGTTAACACAGAATATGAAGATGTGTCGCTGTTAGGACAAGAGAAACTGTACTTAAAGTGGGGAAGTTATGCGTTAGCATTATTGATACAATACACAATAATCTATTCACATATTACAGTTTTATATTGAATTGTCCGTGGCCCACAGAAAAAACATTTACAGTTGTGTCTATAGAGATTTTCCTCCTTAAGCATATGTCAGAAATGTAGCGTTCTGAACTAATTGTAGCCACCAAGGACCAAAATAGTCAAAAAGAAAACATTGATACACCTGTTTATTCTCAGTTAATTTTAATGCAACAGCTGTCATCTCAAAAAACAAATGTCTTCATACAACTGGCATGTCATGTTTCCATATCAAGGCAGCCAAACTCCACCTTACTGATATCAGGTACAATCTCTTCAAGTTGAAACATGAGATTGATGATTCATGACATACAGTTTGAGTTGTGTATCACAACTGACACATTTGTTATATCACCAGGGAAAACAAGAGATATAACTGGGCTAAACTTAAGCCTGATCATGATGAGTCTGTGTAAATGCGGCAGTGTGTCTGTAGATCTTATGAGGGACATTACTTTCTATTTGTTCCTAAACCATTATGATGTAAAGAAACTAATGTTCTTAAGGAGAGAATATGTTGAACCTGTTTGAAATGAGGTGTGTCCCTGTGTCTGTTAAGGGCCATTACTGTCTTCTGGTGCAGGTTTTTGTGTATAAATAATATGTTAGCAGTATTTTGCTTGTTGTCACACTGTCATGGCTTACTAGGACACTTGAATAGAACAGAGCAATCAGTACTGTTATTACTACTTTTTCTACTATGACAAGTTAAAATACCTGCTGTTAAAAAGGTGTATTTTCTAATAAAGATGAAAACACAACCGTGCAGACTGGAAGGGAGAGTAAAGGAAGGTTGGCCAAGCTATGTCTAGGCTAGTTCCGAGAGGTTCAGAGTAAGACAGTGTCTAATGTGTGACTGAAAGTATTAAAAATCTGATCATATTTTTTGTTTTTTGTCTTCACAAACAGGTGGTGGCTTAGCAGTTGGAACAGTACTTCTTATAGGTGAGCCTCTCACTTGTCAAATTGAACAAACAAACAAAAAGGTCCTATTAAATGCAGTGATTTCTTCTTTAATGTGATGTATTTCTTGTTTAAACAGGCTGTTTGGGCAGGACATAAGACAGCGAGGAATCAGTTATACATTTAAACCAACCAGCTGTCAGTTATGGAGATAAACGTATTATTAAAGTAGAATTAAAAACATTTTATTATTTTATTATTATTTAAGGTTAGACTTTTGTTTTACCCTCACTTATGCAGCATGAGGTCCCCACTGAAGAGGAGGTATATCCCAAGAAGTTCAAGTACACATTTCATTGGATACTTTGGAAACTTTCAGAAAATTGTTGTTAACCCTTTATAGGGCACTCATTGAAATACTTGGAAATTTAAAAGTTCAACCCTGGAGTGTTATTGGTACATATAAGAAGACGTTTCTTCTGCTGAAAATCAAAGTCAATGATGTCTAGGTGGGCTGACACAACAACAGTCTGTGGCACAGCAGGCCTCCTCTTCCCATAGAAGGACTGAGCAGACAGCTGCTGCAAAAGAAATATGCCACATCAATATACTATGAAAATATGTAATAAATAAGCCATAAGCAAATCAAGATTATTTGTGAAAGAAAGCCGTAACAGTGAAGTGTATATTAGTATATCACATTTAAAAAAACAAAAACAAAAAAAAACACCAAAATATACCATAGAAGTGTAATAAAAACTGTCATAAGGAAGTTACCATATATGGTTTCTAGGGTTAATAATGACATCAGTGGCGGTTAAGGGCCACACCATCCTGTTGCTCACACTCAATGCACATACATGAAAGTGAACGCTGAAAAATGAATGCCAAACCTATTTAGAATAACAACACTTGTAATTTTGCAAACTAACCTCTCCACTCATATTGTATTTTGCTAGCAATAACATTAGCGAGCAAGCAAGCTAATGTTAGCCATCCAGCTAACACCCAACCACGCTGAATAACAACGCCAGCTGACAAAATAACCTGCAAATGGCAAGCGAGGCAATTTACCAGCCAACAGTATTTTGATATGGTGGCTAGCTCGCAATGGTAGCCAGATATATTTCACAATCTTTGCTGTAATTTTAGCTTTGACTTTGACTTTGTGTTGTGGTGGATACAGGTTGATTGTTCATTAATAATCAGTCCACAGGCAAGCAAAAATGTTAGGAAAGGTCAAATTTTTTAAGTTACGTTACAGCCTGTTGAAAAGGGTGGCAATAAAAAGTGATGAATATATAGAAATAATATGTAAAATGCTTCACAATCGTACATATGGAACCTTTAATAAAGTGTGATTCTTATTGTACTTTTCACGTCTGTACTCTTTACACTACATTCCCCTATGCTGCTGTGTCTAATTTGAATTTATCCTACGGGGGATCAATAAAGGTACATCTTATCTTATCTTATCTTATCTTATCTTAATAGCATTATATTATATTAGTAGATACTATAAATATATCTTATGGTGAGTCATTTTGCTGATCATTTCCTAAATTGTTGTAAAATTAGACTAACTTTGAGTAAATAATACACATCAGGTTACACTGTTACCAACTCTTACTGAACTACAATAAGCCTTTTGGTCTCAATCATACGATATCATTATACAGTAGTTCTTAAAGCAGTATTAAAGCATGTTCTTTTATTTGCTCTGAATGGAGCCATGGAAGAAAAGTTGCAACTAATATAGTACCGTTACAACAGCCAAGTGGCTTTGTTTGATGTCAGTGCATTGGTGTTCAGAAAGATACATATACATGTAATATTAAATACTATATGCAAGGAAAATGCATATATGCTCTTCTCTGTAGAATTATAGTCTTCAGTTTTTTTGCAGCTCTTTGCAACTCTCTCAGTTAATATGTATAGATTTTAAATGGCACTGCATTAACCTGAAATTACTGAAATGTAGCCTTAGCATGCTATTCATGTGTGGACTAAAATTTAAATGTACTCCCAAAACTGAGTTCAGTAGCACTTTTTAGCATGCCACAGCTAATGATACCGTCTGGCTGTTCTCAGGCTCTTTGTGGTTAGTGTGTCACTGTCTAGCAGAATGGCAAATAGACTAATGACCTGGAGGTCTCTAGTTAGAATCCCAGGTGTTCACACTTCCACTGTGATCCGTAATGAATATGCTCATCTGCAGATGTGTTATAGAAGTTTTCGGGAGTATATTCAAAGCAAGTGGGTTTTCTAGGGACATAAATGTCTTCCACTGTATTATTATTGTTATTATCATTCATCATAGGCTAGGCTATATGCACTGGTAGACAGTAAGGTTAAGGTAGTCTTGTTTCCCCTTGAAGCTGTAATTTGTGTGTAGCAAAGGCCTATACCAACTGATGATATTGCTTTGCCCTTTAATTCACCCCCCCAATCGATGCAGGAGTCAGTGATTATACACTAATGCGTTCTTCCCTTCCATTTTGTGAATCAATGTACGGTTGGTTTCATCTGGTAATGAGAGACACAGTAAAGGTGAAATGCGTGTGTGAGCTCTCTTGTGTTTGTCTCTGAAAGAGCGGTGTGTGTATGTGTGTGTGCACAGTGTGTCTGTTTTGTTGTGTGGGTGGGTGGGATGGGGGGGGGGTTGGAGTGTGTGTTTGTTTGTGTTTGTTTCAGGCACTCGTCTCCTACAGTCTGCCCCTTTAGCCGTGATGGCCTGTTTGTGAGACACAGACATAAAATTATCAGACTGGTCGTTGTCTGCCTTTGAAGTGTCTTGAGCTGTCCGTCCTGATTTGTCAACCAGAGGGGGATCAGCCCAGTATGGCTGCTGTCTGAAGATCTCTCATCTCTTGTGTTTTTGTAAGAGAAGGAACAAAGCTTCCCAGCTCTTATTATGTTGACCATGTATGGTTTCATTCCATTAGTTTAAGTGAATGTGTTTTTCCTTTAATGTAACCGTAATAATTACTGTCACGTTTGGCCTAATTGTTTTACTTGTTTAAATATTTCAAAGCTTTGCAGTGCACTTTGAATAAAAATTATCTTCAGTTTTAATATTTATATAGACTATAAGAAATATTTTTTCACATTAACTACTCTGACAAACGATGTAGGCCTAATAGTTGCAAAGTACAACAAATAACAAAAGTTAAACTAAACCAAAAAAACTACAGGAGATGCATTGAAAAGAACCCTGAAGTTGCTTGATCACAATTACAAACACCTAAACACTATATATATATATATATATTTACGCTTCATGACAATTAGTTCAGTTCAGTTGAGTTATTTATTGTTCGACAAGTGGAAATTCTTTTTGCAGCAAGGCAACATAAAAACAATATAAAAGACAATAACATGAAATGGAAATGGTACTATACACAATACAGAATGCAATAAAATGTTTGTAAAAGAGGCCAAATCATCTGTTCACAAATGACAGGTGCATCTGTTTGAAAATGTGTCATAGTGTCAAAAATCATAACATAATTTACCTGACCACAAAAAGCTTAATTAATAAAGAGGAACAGCTTAACATAGGGATATGTCAGACATATACAGTATATGGGAACAAGTGCTTGTAATTGGCATTTAATCTAATATAGCCCGTTTTTGTAGCAGTATTTACGATGGTGATTCAGTCATTTTAAAGCTCAAGTCCTTTTTCATTAATTGTCTGTATTTTGTTTACCTGCTGTATGGCCTCAATGAATTAGAGCTGATAGCACTTCCTAGACCAAAGATTCATGCAAGGGGGAAAACACTCTGACCTAGATATTTTGTCTCCTCCCCCTGCAGCTTTAGCAGATATGATTCAGGACTCTTGCACTCCCACTCCGCTGTTCGAAGGCAAATGAAGCAGAGGAGTTTCCCCTCTTTACCAAACCTCAGTCGGAATAAGCACAAAAAAAAGAAACGAAGGGGGAAAAAAATCATCCCATGACTGTCCAGAGTGACTGATCTACCTCAAAGATATGACCGTCCCCCACCCCCTGTTGCTCGTATACCCCGCCACCTCCCACCCCCTCCCTTACCCCCCGCCTCAACAGCCTAATGACTCCTGGAGGTTCCATTTGTAAGGCTCCCATAGAAACACAGCCACAATAGGCCCCATCTTGAGAGGGCCCATCTGGGAGTCTTTGTGGGGCCTGCTGAAAGCCACAAAGGCCCGCTGACCTAGAAACCCATCAATAAGAGAACAGGGAGCCCCACCGACAACAAATTGAAGAGCCATGGAATTTCCTGGGCCATCCTAAGTCCGTAGGTGAGGACATAGACCGGGAACGTGGGAGGGGGGAATTCTCCGGATGTTTGAGGATGACATGTCAGGATGTCATTCCCAAGCTGTCAGCTGTATGCCCATTACCTTTAACTGTCACTGCTGCCTTTGTCCTTGTGCCCACTGTTTGTCATTGTGTGGAGAGGCCTATGAAATCTTTTCAAAATGATGATTGTGACAGGAAGCAGCAGTAGCATGCTGGGTAGAGTTATGTGTCCTGCTCATGGGGGGGTGGGGGGGTTTCATGGTGATGATGCAGCCTTTTTTTGTGGGTTCGGGGTGTGGAATGGCCGGGTGGCCGCTTTGTGTGCACCGAGAAAGGCCACCTTTGGGAAAGTATGTTTGTCCATTTGATGCTTGAGACCTCTAAATGAGACTGTAATGTCATCACTCCAAGCTGTGAATGACCCTCTCTCCCTTTGTGTTTAAAAGTCCCTCGTATAACTTTATACGCCTTTTAACCTACTTTTATGACAATAAATACACCTGATGTGAATGACACTAGAAATATTATAATGAAAGGATGCCATTGCCATCAGAATCCACACAAAATCTGAGAGATTCAAACAAAGCAGATCTAAAAAAACATTTTGAGGACAGACACTATCTTATCCTACTTCTGCCTCTTCCTGTCAGTTGCCCTGACAACTCGGGGTGTCTTTGCATTCAGGTTGAGGGGTCAGGTGAATGCTTAAGACAGGTGTCTCCCTCTCACCTCCACTGCTGGTTAGTGATAGGTAAAAGGGGACAGGACTGACCTTAACAAGAGAGCTGAGGATGCCGTGTCCACTTTGATAGTCAGATCACACAGCAAAACCTATGTTTCTGTGCCATGTCAACTGCCACTTCATCTGTTCCCTACAAAAGGTAGCCCAAATGTGGTCCTTACATCAATTACACTCAGTAACTGTGATGTGGTCATGAACTGCAGGGTCTGTGGTGTGTGAATGAATGGTCAGAATGAGACAAGATCCAATGATAGACTTGAGGTTGATATATTTTTCATAGGGACGATGTCCCTATTTTATCACAAAATCCTTTCCTTAGGTCCTACAGATATTGTTAGCAGTATGGCATTGATTGACAGTTTCTTCAGAGTGTATGTTTATCTGAGTTTTTCACTCGTACTCAAATTCTGATTGTTGTTGCTGTTTTGTTTCTTTTTTAGAGGAGGACCGATATGACAGCTATTCCCGTATGATCTTGAAGTACTTCCTGGCAGAAGGAGTGGTGTGTCGACATGAACTTTTTGTGGCGGCGGCTCATGATAACCCAGATGACATCTTACAGGTATGAGAGGAGGTGCCATGTGTATTCTGTAAGCTCTCGAAAGTTGTTGTTCTGTGAAGTATGATGTTTGACAAACCGTCACAAAGAAACTAAGATGGCCTCAATAGGCCTACTTTAACATTATCCCTGTACAACTACTGTACTGTCAAAAAGACATTTTTAAAAACTTTGGTTTACCTTGTAGACATCAGAAGATGTTGGAAATAAACTGCATACTTCTGCGTACGGCTGAAGTAGTTTTTTGTCGCAATATATTAATCAGCTCCCACTTTACAGTATGCAGCCTGGTTCAGGCTAGTCAGACCATGATTTAGAAGGTATTCTAGGCGCACAGCTTTCCCCAAGATGTGTCAGGGTCAGTAGGGGTGTCTAAGAGGTCGAGGGTGGCATGGTTGTGGCATTGTTGAAATGTTTCCCGATGCATCACTCTGTGAAGAGGACCATAGCCCCAGAAGCTGACTGCCACCCATCATACAGGAGGAGGGCCTCTCTCCCACTGATTGATAGTGGGAGGGGTCACAGCCTCACCCTCTCTTTACATATCAAAGGCTTATTAAGAGAGGGGGACTCCCAATGGGGATATATCACATCATTTAGTGTTTTCACAGCTACATTCACAGTATGCTAATCTTCAGATGCTATGGTTGTACTTTATGCATTATGTTAACATGCATTCAAGAAACCAGCTTATTGGGAGAAATCAAATTAAAGCAGGAAATTGGAGAACGCGTTCACATGCACTGCAGTAACTCTAGAAAACCTACATTTAATTGCATTAGCTAATCAGATTTCCCACACATCCTTACCATGTTTTTGAATCAGGCCTAGAAGGATTATTTTTACTAGTTACACAGTACAAGAACAGAACTGTCAATCAATCAGTATGAATTCTACAAATAATCTACTGTTCAGCTTTAGAAATTCAAGTGTTAGTCAGACTTTGGATATAATTGTGTTTGATACAATGACGCACCACAACAAGGTATTCCTCCCTTCGCACTGCTGCCACAGCAATACTTTTCCTCTCTGAAGGCTTTGTCAGGCGCATGTGCTCTTGTAAAAACCCCATTAGAACCCCTGTTAAATTTATACATGGCCAAGAAATCAATCATTCTCCAGTAAAACCTTACTGGTTTTTGTTTACATAACATTTTAGGTAATCTGCGTACTGTCAAGCTGACACTTGAGTGCATGTGGATTATGCACTGATGGATAAAACTGTACTGACTGTATTTGTAATACTGTGACAAGTTGCATAATAATACACAGCAATAAGGATAATTAATATGTCTCTTTGACCATTCACAATCCACATATTCTAAATTATTATATTAATTGTATCATTTTGTGCAGGAACTCCCGGCTCCCATCTTAGATGATGTTGCTATCCATAAACCAGTGGAGCAGCCCAGGCTGTCTTGTGAACCTCAGGACAGTTTGGATGCCATGAAGATTGCCTGGCGCTATCAGAATCTTCCAAAAGTACAGGTGAGCATGTGCCAGTTTATATTTTTTTTTATTATAATGATGGCAGCATATGTTGACTGGAATATACAGTAGAATATAGGTAACTTTGTGATCATGCAACTTTCATTAAAAGTTCAACATGTGTCTCTGTTAATGATGGTATGAGAAAGAACTGCACTGGCTCTCTGGTCTTAGTGGTTTGGCAATTGTCTCCACCACTAAATCCATGAGCTTCTAAACTCCTTTGTGGAGTGAATGAGGCCTCAGCCTCTCCTTTCAGAGCTGGACCAGATTACTCACACTTAGCTGGCAATAGGTAGGCTTTTCACTGGTCCCCAACTCACATATACACAGATACACACACGCCTGCACCCCTGCTTAGCCTGGGAAACAAGAGTACTTTGCAGTCTGTGCATTGACATGTCTGCTCGCTCAACCCTATGACCCAGACCTGCGCCTCTGTCTTCCCCCAAATCCCTGCCTTTCCCCCTGCTAGGGTCGGCAGCCCTACACTCTTTCTTCCGCTTTGAGAGGTGACCCTCCCCTTCTACTTCTCTGCAGTCTCCCCCCTTCTGTCTATAATCCATATCGCTATGTGGATTAACAGCACACAGTGTGTCCCTGGGGATCCTCTCCCTCTTTCTCTCTCCCTGGAAACTTCTTTATATCTGTGTCCTTTCCTCACCTCTCCCCCTTCCCCTGTAAAATCGTCTTTACAAACCACTAGTAAGCCTCACCAGAGGATTTGCATCCCAAATTCACCCCCAGAGTCAACGCTTACTTTCCCCTTACACACACCTCTCCTGGCATAGCCCACTGTGTCGCTCTCTCGATGAAGACATCAGATCAAAGGTGAGGCCATCAGGGCGGGGATGGAACGCTAAGCGGGTTGCCTAGCTCACAAAGAGAAGATGAGCCCCTGACCCCCCCTGCCCTGCTGACCCCCTCGTCCCGCCAGGAGAGGGACACACCGGGGGCCCTAATCCAGATTAGGAGTAGATTAAGGGCCCCTCTAACAATGGAATCCCCGGTTTCACTGAGAGAGAAGAGCTAAAACTCTCTCTTTCAGCTGCAGGAAAACATCCGCCTTCCCCTGCGTCCCTGACACGTTTGCTTTCACAGCCAGAAGTGGACATTTATGTGAAGAAATGATTAAGACTCTGGTCATAGTGGTTATTTAACTTCTCTGCCGTTGGGATGTTGAGGAATGACCCATAAACAATGCAATTGCATTACCACAGTATTGTGAAGCACACTCATTTAACATATTAGAAAGACAAATAAGGTTATTTTTCTTTATGAATAGCTTTATTCTTGTCAGAAATTAGTTAAATGCACATTGTTGGTTGTAAGTGGGTTAACGCAAACAGTACTGTCAGACAGGGATGATTGAAAATAAATTTAAATGCTCTTTGATTGAAGGTCTTGCTAAAGTGTTGCTTCATGCTTTAACATGCAATTGACTGGTTGACCTCCTCAGAGTGCCTTGGCATCCTCATCCCGGTTCGGGCACTACTATGACGTCTCCAAGACGATGGAGCCAGAAATCCGCCAGGCAGCCAAGTGCCACCGCTTCTACCTTCCCGAACATCCCACCCAGTCATCACCCACACACAGGTAAAACGACAAGACATCATCCGCAGAACGCATGGAAACCAATGAGACACCATCTGCAGAACACAGGCACACAAACCCGACATCCACAAAACACAGTTACACAAATAAGACATCATCCACAGAACACAGGTAAGCAAACATGGCATTGTTCACGGAATACAGGTAAACCAACAATGCAGACAGTCCAACATAATTTAAAGAGCACATACTGTATAAGCCCTACAACCAGCATGTGCATTAGAGAAAAGATAGATTGAGCTCTCCCCAATATCATATAGAGGCCTTTGCTTGATGTACTGCAGCTAAGAATGGTTTTCATTATCAGTCTTTTTTTTTTTCAATTATTTGTTTTGTCTATAAAATATTAGAAAATAGTAAAAAATTACAGGAGAAATAAGTCCCTGAGTTAAAATATTCAGAGGTCTTGTTTTGTATGAGCAGTCGAAAAAGCAAAATTCACTTACTATAATATAAAACAGAAAAAAACAGGAATTCTTCACATATCACAAGCTGGAACCAGGTGATGTGTGACATTTTTTAATAAAATATGATGGCAAAGTTTATAAAAATAGTTGCTGATTAATTTCCTGTCAATAAGATAATTGATCAATTAATTGTTTCAGCTCTAATGAACTGTGAATATATTACCTCTAGCTGGAGCAAAACAGTACACCTTTTTGTATAAATAGTAATAATTGAGATTCATTAAATTGCTAACTATAAAAACATATTAATAATTACAACTGAAAGCTAATGCATCCAAAATAATGTTGTTGTTTTTTAAATGAATCTAAAAAACACACTAGTTTTTACCCTTTAAATAACTGATACAAATCTGAATCATCCTCTATTCAGAGTAGTTTGCCATTGGCCTAAGACATTCAGTCTCTTGGAAAGGTTGTGTATGTCTATTCAAATAAGGGTCTTGTTTGCTCAGCGTCTGTTTGATTTCTCCTGCGTTGAGTGTACTTAGGGTTCAGAGGTCATGCAGGCTCTTTACTCTGAGAGTGCTGTTGAACACACAAGGGCACACGAACGCACACTCACGCACACCCTGGGTAAATACAGCAATCTGGAGCGCAGAGGATGTGGAGGAGGCTTTACAGAATCCCTCTTCCTTTATTTCAGCAAACAGAGACTGTTTAACAGAGCACCCATGCAAACACATTAAATGTTGTGGATGTTCAGTTTAGAATATACATTTATATACAAGTATGGACGATAAATTAGACAGAATTTGCTATTGTACTGAATATCATTTCAGAACTGGGAACGCCTATCAAAAGGGAATAAATGAAATAATAAACTATCTTCTCTGTTGATGTTTGCGGCGTTGTGCGTCAGTCTAGTGAGTTAGAGTGACATGGTGGAACTGTTGTGGCGTCTGAATGGGTTATAGAGCTTACAGACATTTTGACAGCAGGAAACTACACCTGCACTGCACCATTGTGCCCCCAGCCCCGCCCCAATACTGACACGCATACATACATGCACACACACACTCAGCACTTTATACACACACACACGTATCACACAAACTCTAAGCAGGCTACTCCCCCTTGCACGTGTCCACAGCCCCATGTTGATACCCTAGCTGTTAAATTGCTCCGTTTCACTTGAAGGCATAATTGGCACAAATTGCTCTCTAGGTGATACAGATCCTGTTGTTTAAGAGCAAGCATCCCCCTTCTCTCCTCCTTTCTTCCCTCGCTGAAAGAGGAAAACTGAGATAAAGAAGCGTCCCTGTGTATGATCCTAATTAGCTGACGCACTAGCCCCTGTAGCTAAGCACCTAGACCTTTTTGGTACCTGAATGAGGGGTGCTCAGTAGGGGTAGCTAAAACACAATGCCGTCCTACACAATGACTGCCAACCAGAGGCAACCTCCTGCTCAACTGCATGTCAAACCACCCCAGCCCCCTACCTCAGAGCAGGGGCATGGGCAAAGAGGCCAAGGAGGGTAGGTGTCCCTCTTTCACCAAACCAGCTCTATCATTAGCCCCAGCAGGGTCAGGAGGCACCATTGTTGGGCTGAATAACTGAAATAGAGTACATGGATATACTTGGCGCAAGTGTAATCAACACGAGTGTGTATTACTGTTCTTTATGCAGGGCTATTGGCGTGTGACCAATCTATGTGTATCAGCTTTTGTAGCCTGCAGGTCAAATTGACAACTGACATAGCAGCCCACTGTGACTCACTACAGAGTGGTCATTACAATGGTGGAGCGTTCTTAAGTGGGGGGGACCTGTGTAAAAAGATGGGGTTAACATTTGTATTGGCCATCCTATAGGCACATGGTGGGCTCAGCAGTAATCCATCCCTTGACTGTTACTAAATATTGCTCCGATGGTACTGTACGCCCTTTGTCAGTGGTGCACATCTTACCCCTGATTAAACACCAAAATGCTGTTCCGTGTTAATTTTAGATATCAGCCCATTAACACCCCCCCCCCTCCTCACTTATCATCTTTGTTGTGTATATGTTTGTGCATATACACGTCTTATCTGTCTGTCTGTCTGTCTGTCTCTGCACAATCAGATCCTCGGGGAGCTGACAGAGAACCAGTCATGTTGTAATTTAATCAACCAAATAAATTAATTGGATCTCTTGATATGGATCATCTGTCTGCTTCAGTGGCTCCAGAAAAGCACAGTCAGGAGGAACATGCTGCAGTCATAGAGGATTAAGCTACTGTGGTGATAGGCTTAGCCCAGTTTTATCAAAATGGTTTCAGTTACACTTTACACGTCCTAAGTAACCCTTTTGTGTTCTCTTTCTGGTTGTCTCCTCCACTATGTCCACTCTCTCCTCTCTCTTGTGGTCTTTTCAGTACCATGCTTCAGTCCTACTCTGCGTTGCTGAAGTCACTTCAAGAGGTCATTCACCGGGAGGGCTTTGAAGTAGCAGCCCCCATGGTAAGAAGTGAATGACTGCCTCGCACTTGTTTCTTTCAACCTGAGGTTTTTGCGACATATTTTCTACAACTACAGCCTTTTGAAATGTGTATCTTTTTCAAACAATTTCAAGCAAACCTGCGCACCCTTTCACAAAACAGCTATTTTACTGGGACTCTGTATATACGTTTACGGCTATAACAGCAGACAAAGCAGCTGAACAAGAAAAACTTTCCACTTCAGGCCACCAATCTCTTTAGGTTGAGTTTTACCACTATTTCAGCCCATTCAACCAGTTGAGTGAAAGTGGACTGATATAAATGTTAAAAAATTAGTTTTATAATAAGCAAGTATTTATAGCAATAACAAAAATAATAGTAATAATTTGTAACAATCAGTCCAATTAAATCACACATATCAGTTCTCTTAATCAAATCCACAAACTTTTAGTCAGGTCCCCTCTCAGTGTTTTTTTGTGGTTTTGGCTCTCTGATTGACAAAAAACTATTGCTGAAATGCAGTAAGGCATGCAGTAAGCTGCCGCCGGCAGTGATGCAACACAAAAGGCAGGTGTGCATTTTTTCTACATTCATGTCATTAAAGGTTAACTCTTTGACTTGCTGTTGCTAATGTGTTCAGGTAACAAATACAAACAATGTTTCTAACGACACTTACTGCGATGAGCCCAGTCAACCTATTGTGCATTCAATTTATTATGTATGATGTGCATTAGAGGAGCATTTTTTCAAGAATGATAGAAGATCTGCATCTCTGACTCTTAGCTCTTCTCTCATATTGCAACCAACACTTGTCTCGAGTGTTTGCCTCTCTCTCACCTGCCTGGGTTGGCGTCACCTGTGTGTCCCAGTTATGTGCGTCTTACCTTTGACATAAATCTTTTTAATAATCATCAACCCTCTACAGAATGCCAGACACATCCATGGCCCCGTCTGTTTTCCACAGGGCCAAGTGTAATCCTGTTAACACTATGTTGTGCCTGTATATAGATGTGTATATATACAGTATGATCGTGTGTGTTTGTGCGTATGTGAATGTGTGCATGCGCCTTAATCACCTACATTTGGTGACCCCTCTGCTCGTCACCTGGAGCCACCTCTCCCCCCGTCACTCACACATAGGATTTACCTCCAGTACCCCCCACCCACCCTCCCTGAGCGCTGTCACTCACACGCCAGATTAACTGCTGACATCATTAAAGCAGTGTGGCCGCCTGACATGCTGTTGGCACAGTCGAGGAATGCAGACCGGCACAGAGCGACATGGGCTCTGGCACAAGAATGCCCAGTATGGGTGATAGTCAGTGTGTGTGCGCGTTTATATGTTTATTTGTTCATCTATAATCATGGAATGGTAACAACATGCAGATTTCATAGAAACTGTGTTATTTAAAGAACAGATTAGAACAAGGATTTATCTCCCTAAGCATATTTTCTAGTATAGTATAGTCTTTTGAGATGAGTGGAGAGGGGTGGCAGCAGGACTGAGTCTCCACAGAGACTGGCTGGTGATTAGGTTGTGGTCCCAGGCTGGCTGTAGCCTATATGGCTGGCCTCTGGTCCTTGGCTGGACTCTACTGGCACTGTTCCCTGATTTTTCTATAGGATAAACTATAGGAGTTAAGTTTGGCCTCTCCTCTTGATGCCACAGCAACAGTCTTGTTACCACAGCCCCCCCCCCGCTGGGCTGCATACATAGAAATAGATTTCTAATTTTGTGCCCTCCCCCCCTCCTCAAGACCTGTGTAGGCAAAGCCCGCTAAACAATGAAATGGCATATCTAATAAAGACAAAGGCACGCACACAGCACTAGTACTTAAGTATAGTAAGGTATAAAGATGCAGCATTGATGTTGAATGGTGTAAAGCCGGATGAATGTAGAGTCCAGTGTGAGAGTCCTCTTTGGGAAACTATGAGCCAACTGTGAAAAACTCCCAGGAACAATGGGGTTTATTTTTCTTAGATGCCTGTGATTCTGATCCAGATCCAAACGAAGCTTAGGTCATACTGTTGGGAGAGGAAGCGATGGGGAGTGGGGCGGAGGAGATAATAGAGGGGGAGGGATAAAGGAGAGGAGAGGTTGGGGAAAAAAAAGAGTAAAGTGAGCAGATTTTAGGCCAGAGCTTTGTTAATCACTCTTGGCTCTCACCTCAGTAATCAGGAGCCATCCTGAAGAAACCCCAAATAAAAGGCAATTGTATCAAAGGTTAAAAACCTCTCACAGTTTGGACAGGCTCCTCCATTCTCTTAGTTTCAGTGATATATATCCCACTAATGTTTGGCCACTTTTTCTCCATCTTCATGAGAGTGGGTTACTGTTGATCTCTTGTGGTGGGGTGGGTGGGTGGGGGTTTCAAGGGAAGGCGCTCCACCCTTACCCAGGCCCCCTTGGCTTCAGAGCATCGCCGTTGTGCCAAGAATGTGCTGGGGTTTCTGGGTGGCGGCCATATTGGAAGCCTGTCTGACAGGTCCATTGTGCGTGTGTCAGATGGCCTCTGTGATTGGGCAGTTGTGTCCAGTCACGTTTGGGCACTGTGTTCCGATCGTCTGTGCTGGTGAGCAGACTGTCCAGTCGCTTTCTCCCAGAGTTTGGGAATACTACCCAAAACAGCACCTTTCCAAAATCACCCAAAAGCAGCAATCTGAAATTCAATCTAACTTTATTACTGCATTATGAGTGCTTCTGTAGATAAATACATATTTGCATGACTTTTTACGTGTTTTGTAGTATTCCTGACCCCTTTCTTCTTGCTTGTTCTTTCTTATAGTCAAAGTCACGTAACATCCTGCGAATCGGGCTTCACTCTCTTGGCTCGGTACTGTGGGGTGATGACCTGTGTTGCCATGACAACCCCAGTAACAGCCATGCCCTCACTACCTTTCTCTATGGACTGCGTGCTTTGCTAAGGTCATCGCTGTCAGTTGCAGTAGTAACTGTGCCTTCACATCTCATCCAGGTAAGACAGTTTTTGACACATGACAACAACTTGGCATAAAAAGACAAGATATCGAGTTAGCAAATTTTTGCTGACCCAATATTTAACTGATATGTCTACCTTTTATGCTAGTTTAGTTGAGAACAGTTATTATTGTCAACATTATTTTTGGAGATGTGTGGTACTACTAGAATACATTGACACAAATGTACAAGTCATAACTGCTTTATTCTCCTCTTGCTATCAGAGGAATAAATAACGTATAATTTAAAGAGAAAAGACAGGTAGGATTAGAGATCCTATTATGTGTGGGTTGATGTTTGGCGTACCTACTTTTGCTTTGTCTTGTTCATTAATGGGGTACAAAGATTGAAGTCTTTTGTATTGAGGCCTCCTCTTGACCCTGTGGTTCAGTGTCACCCTGGTATGACTCAGGCCTGTGAGGGGCCTCTTCCTCCACGCATCACTCCCCTTACAGACCCAGTCGAGTGCACACTTCTCTAAATCTGTTTGTTTGTTTGGGCTTTTAATTACTTGAATCTGTACACAATGAGCATGTGTGTCTGTGTATGCGTTTTCTTATCTTACAGATATCCTGCCTTGTCGTTGTGTGTCTCTGGCTGTGTTTGTGGGTGTGTGCGTGTATGTGTGTGTGTTTGGGGTGTATAAGTCTGCGTGCATGCGTCTGTGTACAGTCTGGCCTCTCAGTGTGAAGGTGGAGTCATCTGCTGAGGCATATGGCAAACCATAGCCCTCCCCCAGACGGTCGACCATAGAAGCACACTCACAAGAAAAAGCCATCTGAGACTTTCAACCGAAATGTTTCTATCTCACCTACACTTTAAACACTAGACTTCCTTATAGTCCACATTCACAAGAGTACGGAAGCTCCAATATCTGTGATCCTTTATGCAAAGATATAGGTCGATGCTTAACTTTCAGAACAGCTGTGTTGTCACAACATGCTCTGGCTCCAAGCCTATATGCTCCGTGCACAGCGGCCTTGGCCTAGTCAAAAAAGGTAGAGTGGCTAACTAGCAGATGTCAGCTGTGGTGGGAGCGGTCCCCCTGTCCCTCTCTGGCCTGGCCTCCAAACCCTTAATCTGTCCCCTCCCTTTTCTCCACCCTGGGGAGTGAAGTGAATGAGCGGGGGAAGAAGAGGAGAGGGGGAAATTTTGGACTGAATCAGGTGTTGGGTGACTAAGCCAACATGGAGGTAATGAGAGGCTGTTAAGATGGGCATCAATGAAATGACCTTATGATTAGTTTAGTCTCATTTGATGTTGTTGTCATAAGGAAAGATTCTAATTGATCAGCTGAGGTCACCAAGGTGTGCAGGCTGCTCATTTCAAGTTAATGACAACAGTGTTAGCAGAGCTTCTTTCTGCCAGTACCTTTGCTTAGCTAATTAGTTTAGTTAACAGAGTGTGGCCTTTGGAAGACTGTCTAGACTAGTAGCAGAGGGCTAGCTGGCCGAAACCGCACTGGACACTCTATCCATTATTGAGCAGCTTGGGAAGTTGGGCAACTCACTGAAAGCCTCCTCACAGCAGCCTTGTGCCACAGTCCATCTGAAACATTAATTAGGCTTGCCCCAGCTTGGTCCTCCTCCATCATACTATCTCCCACCATTCCCATCCCCACAAGTAAACACACAAACACAAAATACACAGCTTTCCCTAAAATGCATTCATATACACCTTACCTTCTGCTCAGACTAAGTGGTGTCCTTACCTATGCAAATATTTAGACTCAGGGTTTGGACTAGTCAGGCAGAATTGTTTGGTACTGTAGTAGGGCTACAAACCCCCCTCACTACTGGCTCTTTTTAATAACTATATACAGCCTCTAAATTTAGGCCTGCAACTGACAATTATTTACATTATCAATTAATTTGCTGATTATTTTCTTGACTAATTAATTAATCATTTAGTAACAAAGTTGTAAAAAACCTCCCAGAGTCAAAAGTGACGTCCAAAACCCAAATCTATATATTTTACTATCACATATGACATAGAAAAGCAGCAAATGTTTGGCATTTTTGCTTTGGAAAAAATTAAACGTCCTTTATACGATTTTATATTTCTGAACAGTTCAAACTTGAACAACATTTTCTTATTGTGGGATTTGATTTGTGAAAACTAGGCTGACATTGTCAGCTAGGATTGCAGCGGTATACTGATATTGTATACCATGGTAGGAAAGTTATCATACTGTGTACATTTTCTTATCTACGATATTGAATTCTATTGTAATGAACTTCTAATAATAATTGTGTGTCACTCTATAATGTGAAACTGTGATGTTTTCTGTTTCTGTGTACTGTGAAACTCTCATACCTTTGCAACCCTATTATCAGCTATCAGCTTGATTGCGAGGTTTCCAACAGTACTTTTTTCAACTCAATTGTGTTTAAGTATTTTGAATTGTAGAATTGTTTGCATTTTTTAAGTATGTTTACATCACAGGTTTTAAACCAGGACATGTAACTATATAATCATCATGCTAACTACACCTGCCATATCAGTTTGCTTTTTTTTAGTGTAGGGACTGTGCTTTTGTTCCCAGATGCAATCACATTTTTATCTTGCTTCCATTTGTATCCTTGGAAGTGATGTGCATTTATTTTGTGTCATATATAGACTCTGCTCTCCTAAGACATTCGGCAGAGGGAAAAGTCATCCCTGTCTCCCTCAGAGTGATGTATTGAATATTTCTGCTCACACAGTGACCCACGTTTTGAAACAAGCAAACACAAGTACAGCGCTGAGCCATACAGCCAAACAAAACTCAAAAGTGTTACAGAGTGTTACATTAAGACACTATAGTTTGGTCAAGGTAACATACTGCTGGGTACAATGAACACTGGGCTCTCCCTATAACCTATAACTCAGTCAGCTGAGACTCAGGGTGTTTGGGGGATTTACAGTGATGGAATCTGAGTTAATTGAGCCACCATCGACATTTGTCATTGAATTGAAGTTACTCTTGTTTGAGCCCCTTATCAATTATAAATAAGATTTTTTTTAAAGATATACAGTTGAGGTGAGCATTTCCCTGATCACCTCCTTAAACTCAAGGAGCTGTGGAGCACGTGCATGTCTTACTGACGTCATTCTGTCCTCTGCCGCTGTACTGAGCAACTCTGTGTGGATACTTTGGATTCCTCTGACTTTGAAACTTTTAAGTCTTTGTATTTCAGTAAGCACAGTAAGTATTATAGACAAACTAGCACAGATACAGTTCCTCTCTCACTCGCACAGACACTACTGGCCATACTGTACCATTAGTGTTTTGACAAATTTGTTGTAGCCAAACTGCTACACTACTTTAATTGCTGCACAGTGACCTCAGGTACCCTCTAAGTGCTGGTGGCCCTGACTGGTGGGATATGCATACTTTAAAAGTAGGACAAAAATGAAAAGGAAGAAGAAAGAGTGGGGAAAAGACATGAAGGCATGAAAACTGCATTAGGCTGTGGCAGCCAACACAGAGAGAAGGATGTGAATGATTCAAGAGGCAAAGAGATTAATAATGCAGGACTCCCTCTTTCCCTCCATCCCAGTGTCCCTCTCTCCCTCCCCTCCCCTCCCTTTACCCTCTGCCTCCACCCTTTTGTATATTTCTCCTTCATTCTTTCTATCTACTGTATTCGCCCCTGATTTGTCCTCTTTGTTGTCAAGTCACTGACCTAACCAGTAGGGGGAGCTCTCCTCATCAAGCCTCTGCTGCTGTCTCCCAGTTCCTCTCTATCCTCCCCTGCTGTGTGCAGGTTTGAGAGTGTGCACCAACTGCAAACCTTGTCGTAAAAAGAAATGTTGTTTGATGAAGTAAAATAATGTGTTGCCACTGACTTTTCCTGTGCCATGTTTGTAGATGTATGCCTGATGTAAGGTGTGTGTCCATTTGCCTGCCCCGACATCACCTGTAACCCCTGTCAGTGCTCTTTCCCCCCCCATACCTCATCACCCTCACCTAAGCCATGGGCAGAAATGACCTGGCCACAGGAAATGATGACCTAATTTAATTGCAACACTGATGGCCCGTCAGGAGGCTTTTAATTACCTGCTCATGCTTTTCTCTCTCTCTCTCTCTCTCTCTCTCTCTCTCTCTCTCCCCCCCCCCCTCTCACTCACTCTCTCGGTCCTACAGGACAGAGCTCTAATGGGCAGCATAACCAGGCTATGTGACAATGCCATAGCCCTGGAATCATTCAAAGGCTCTGAGAGAGAGACCAACCCACTCTACAAAGATTACCATGGTAAGAACACACACACACACACACACACACACACACACACACTTGCTTATCTTTCTGTCTCTTTTCCAACAAATACACACACATACACACAGGCAGTGCATTAAGGCTGGGGCTGGGCTGTGGATGGAGGCAGGGCAGCCCCCTTGCAGGCCAGGCTGTCAGTGCGCGTTAGTGTGCTGCTGCTCAATCAGACGTGCTCCTCAGTAGACAGGCCGGGGGGGATTCAGCTGCCACGCTGTACCCCCTCTCCCTCGCACCCTCACCCCCTCCATCTCTGCCTCCCCCCCTCCAGCAGAGCCTCTCTCCCTCTCCCTCTCGCCTCGCCCCCTCTCCATCCCTAGTCCCATACCCCTGAGGCTCTGGAGCAGAGCAGACCAACACTGGGGAATCGATATTCTCACCATCACTCTCTCTTCCTCTCTGCCTCTATCTCTCTATCCCTCGCTCAATGTCTCCATGGCCAGCATGCTCTGCTAATAAATGGAGGGCAAGGCTTTCAGTAGGGGAAGAAGACACCAGTAAGGGACGATTGGAGAGAGGGAAACGAAGGAGGGGGGGCAACATAGTTTGTCTCTTCTCTCCCGGTCCTCACCATCACTTTTCCTTTACGGTTATACCATTCCTTCCTTCTCCTGTTTGCATCCCTCTTTTCTATCACTCTATCACACTCTTCACGCATAAAGGTCAGTTTAAGCGAGTGGGGTATTTTTAGCCATGCCTCTCGAACTCTCCCACTCACTCTTGTGCTTTTCTGCTCATTTTTCCCCTATCTCCCTTCCTCGGGTAAGACAGCCCTGGTTGTGACAGATGAAGGGATGAGGAGTAAAAACATTGAATGGCAGATTTTGGTTTCATCCAACAGCATGTTTTATTTAGACAACACATCCCATAGTGATCACATTCCTCTGCATTGTAAAGGCAGGTGGCATGTAAACCCATTCAACCTATGAGTGTTGTAATACATAATTCTTTAAAATAATTTTGTATTACAAAAATGTTCTTCAGAATTTGCTGCTAATATTGTTTTAATATCTTGTTCAAGAATATATTTGCCCTCTGTTTAACCAGCCAGAGAAATTCTGGTTGAGTTATGAAATACATTTATGTGCATGATTGTTTTGATGTGTGTTCATGAGTGCAAACGCATCTGGTACGAGTGTGAGAGTGCGTGCGAATGCGCGTGCGTGCGTGTTTGCGGCAGCAGTTCAGGGCTGCTCAAAGCATGCTGGGAAGCCTGTCACTGCAAATCAGGCAAGGGGAAATCACCCAAGTGCACAGAGGAGAGAACCCACCATCCCCCACTTTCTCTGTCTGTCTCCCTTTCTCCATTACTCCCTCGATCTCTTCTTTTATCTCTCACGCTCATTTATACCACCCCACTTCTACAGTAGTTTTTACAGTTTTATGAGAATGTAACTTTGTGGTGACAGCGAATGAGAAATGAAGAATAAAAAATGCTTCAAAGCTTCCACCTATCCTTTGCAGCTTGTATTTTCACTTTCTGTCCCTCATTGCTCTAATGTGTCCTTTAATTGGCAGATTTCCTTTACAGTACAACATGCTCTAGCCTGTAGGGATAAAAGGAAAGAGTACGACTGCCAATATAGAAATGTTCATAGATATCTGATAACAAGTAATGTCACTGGTAGTTTTGTCTTACACTAACAGTGATATATTTTATTTCACTGCAATACCACCATGTTTCTAGTTTCTGCCAGTGGAGTTCACCTACTGTAACTATGATGCTTAATAGTGATATAAATGTTTGAAAAATACTGGCCTGTTAATGCCTATCCTGTTACATTCATTCAAGTAGATGAGCATAGTTTACTTCAAATGTAACACTAATTTTAGTTCAGCATTTTCAAAAACTTAAAAAATTCAGCATTTTGTAATTAGCTGGTAAATCCTTGAAAGCTTCCTTTTAAGATTTTGACTGTCCCGCCAAGATGAGAAACTGCCCCTTTCAGTCATCACAAGAGTTATTTGAAATGTACAAAAGTTAGAATACTATTTTAATCATTTGTAATTTAAGCAGTTTAAGCAGTTTAATTTAAAATAAATAAACTAATATTTCAAATGAATCATCTCATCAAATCATCCTATGACACTAGAAGAGAGCAGTTTTCCTTCAAAATTAGTGTATTACATATAATAATGTTGGTTGAACTCTTGAGGTTGTTAGTAGTAATTCATACTGAATTTTGCATATGTAATTTAGACTAGAGAAAAACCTAATTCTCTAAAAGTGGCACTATTTTACACATTTTTATACATTAAAAGAAAGCACTGTGTTGTTTTTTTATTGACACAGTTTAAAATAAAACATGCACATTGTGAATAGGACTAGAATATCTTGTTGTAACTTTCCTTTATATTCTGCTTTACTTCACAGGCCTGCTGTATGTACGCCAAGTTCCTCACCTGAACTGTCTGGCGAGTAAACTTCCTGACCACAAGGACCTGGCCTTCAAGCTCAAAAGAAAACAGTTCACTATTGAGGTATGTTGTCAAGGATACTCAGCATATCCAGGGTTTTCTTGAACATGAACAAAACATAGTGTTAAGTGGTTCTACACTCTTGGTATATTTGTAATGCCCTCTGTCAATATTTTTTCTTTTACTTTTTGCCCCAATTTTATTCCTCTAGTTTTTTATAACTTGCCATGTAACCACTAACCCACAACAATAACTGAGTTTAGACACAAAGTCTTTATTTATGAAGAAAGCCATTATATTTGTTACCTTTCATCATGTTCATAGCACTGCTGAAATTAAGTGGTGATGATAAAGAGAAATCTCTCATGTTGGCCAAGTTCTGCCAGCCTGTGTTTACTTTTGTCTGTTATTGGGTGTCAAAATCAAAGGTGAAGCTATTGATTATACACTGTTGCTGCCACACTTAGTCCAGTGTAATGTCAAGAGGCAACAGAGTGAGAAAAATGTCTATCTATATTCATGAATCTGCAATGAAAAAATATTGGTGGCAGTTAAAGTTGAAGTTATTTATATTTTGATATATGAAATGAAGATGAATGTATAACTGGTCATGGTATTGATGCATGGTTCCCACCCATCCAAGGACAAAAAAAATGAAACCACAACAAACAGGTTTGCACTATTAAAAACATTTTAGCCACAATGGCTCTCAAGGGAAACAGATACGTACAGGAGGTGCTGCTTACTTTGTCTGGCAGGTCGATGTTCTTTCACTCCCCAGCCAGCATTAGCCATGACCTGTTGAGGCAACGGATCAGTGTGATCAGTGGTGGGGTTTTTTTGTTGAAAAAGATTGTGGGGCAACAACTACTTCGGACAAAAGTAAGAACAGGAAATTACATTACATAAATCTTAATATCCCTCCAAAAACAATCATTTATATTTTGACTCCTCTATAGCCTAACTGCGAGACAGGTAAAATGAGACAATGTCATAGCCATACAAACACTGCTTGCATGCTGAATGATAGCAATAGGAGAAGAGGAGGAGAAGAGGAAGAGGAGAGACATTTGGCGTGAACCCATGTTTGAACTGAATGCGAGGGGGAGGAGAGCAGAAGAGAACTAGACAACGAGGGAGGGCATCACCATGAATAAAGGGAAATATGTATGTCACTGTTCACAGGTTTAAACAGTTCAGCAGCAGTGAGTTGTGCACCAAGCCTTGGATTTACAATAACATCAAGCCATGACCATTAGAAAAGTGACCTGATATAAACAGATTATAAATACCATACCATACTATAACAGTAAGATAAGCTGAAAATCCTTTAGTCACCAATTGTAAGCCAACTTTAGGAGAAAGGAGACAAACTAAAAATCCTGTAGCTGCTCAATCAGCTCATTCTCAATAGAGTATAACCAGCACATTGAGTTGTTCCTCACAGTGGTGCAAGCAAATTTTTATTGTCTTCAGAGTAGAGAAACTTCTTTCTGATTCTAATATTGCCATGGGAGTTTGATGACGATTTTTAGAAGTGTGACATTCTCAGCAAAACCCTCATTCAAGTGGATAGGTGATAGCAAAGGCAGGGCTGTTCCCAGTGAGTAGTGGAACAGCGTGGTCATCTCTTCAACTTTTAGTTTACTGCACAGTCACTATTGGGGAAGGAAAGGAAAGGATTTAACAAACTCAAACAACAAAAACACAAAAAAGAGCTGTAAACTAGTTCATCAGCAATAAGGTGGTCACTCTTATATTTTTAACATTCCCTTTGGCATTGTACAAAACATACACCACTGACATAGAGAATAATTCCAATAGCTGTTGGAAGGTGGGGTCCTTTAGCAGTTCTGCACAGTTCACCTGAAAATTACACTGACAGTTTAAAGTTTAAAGTTCCATCGGATAGCTGGTGGCCTCCAAGTGCATCTTTTTGTTGCCCCTACGAGGTCTGCCAGTGCTGCCCAGTGATAGGTTTCCTTCATTAAGGTCTGTACACAGCGGACATTCCCGCTCATTACAGTGGCACCAACATGTGTTTGTGCCATCAACTTGTCCGCTAACTGCCGCAACTGTCCTAGTACTAGTACTAGTGGCTCCAGTACACTATTGATAATGTTAGTCAGGCCCACAGCACTTTTATACTTAACAGCGTATTCTGAATTGAACTAGAGGTCCCTTTGAAAACTGACTGAGCATCATAGCGCCCCTTTGGAGTTTGAGTCACCCTCAGACAGGGTTTGAAATATGCATTGGAAAATCCCAGGGTTCAGACTGTCTGCTAACTCATCATGGCCATGTAGTGTCATTTCCCATTTTCCACACAGTTTAATACAGGTGACCATTCAACTGAGCACATAGCTGTTATCCTCAACTTGCTGGTCACACTGCTCAATTCCCCTTTCGTATGCACTGTGAATGTGGGTAGCTATGTTTGCTCTGAAGAGCAAGCCCAATTTTACTGCTGTCTAGATGACTCCCGCTGCTTTGATATTTGCCAATCCTCTCTGAAAGATGCGTTAAAAAAAGCGGAGCTGGCGATTATTTGACCAGCCGTATGGTGAACTTAAATTGTAAAATAACAATAAATAAGAGCAGTAACCAGGGATTTTTACGTCATGCATTAATCCAGAATAATGTTCATTTCTAAGTTACTCAGTACCATTAAAACCACAATTTGTTCTGCCGCCAGTAGGTGGGGCTTTGCCTCATTTGCCCCAAATGCCCCAAATGCCCCATTGGCGGGAATACATTAATCATTTTTTCTTCTGTGAGGGATGGTTAAAACTATTTTCATTTTGTATGATACTTTAAAATCTTTCAATTAGACCATTTGGTGCATTTGAGTATAGGTCACAGGACAGGTTTGTATTGCCTTTCCCTTCATTCTTTCATTTTGATTTATGATTTCTCATGCATTTTCTCTTTTTCTTCTTGCCAGAGACACATCCATTTTGCATGTGTCACATCATCACTCTTATTCAGAGCAATCAATCTGTCACTGAGCTACCACTCTAGAGACAAATTAAGGGGCCCTCCTCTTAGCTCAGGCTCATGATTGGTCCTCATTACATTATCATTACCTTATCACACCCTCTGGTCCTTGGCTCTTAGTGAATCCTATTGTCTCAGACAGGAGGTGAGGGGGAGGAGAGGAATGCCCCCCCCCAAACCTTCCTCTGCATCTTACGGTCAACCCCTTCTAATTTTCTGCAAGCCTTCACCATCCTTCTAATCCTCCTGTCTGTATTGGCCAGGCCCCCCTCCTTTCTCTGCCCCCCTGAATAGTCTACTCCAGTATAGATTTATAAGGTCCGTAAAAGTCAAGGTGGTTATCCTCAGTGGTCTTTTAATTAGGATTCTATTGGGCAGGCCAGGGGGCCGAGGCCTAGGGCATCCCTATAGCTCTGTGGGGCCTGGATACTGTGTCATATATCCCAGCAGCACATTGTAAAGATCAAGCTTTGTCTGCCTTCCTTGTTTAAGGAGCTTTATTGGAGTTTTTTGTTGAATGGTAACCATACTCTTGTATTGCCCTCATACACATAGCAGTAAAAGAAAATCAGAGTGATAATCCACGTTGGACTCATTCATTTGATGTCATTCAAATCCTAAAATGGCTGTGATTGCTGACGTATATAATATGAAATGTCAATCACAATCCTTGGCCATGACACATCGTTGTGTGTCAGGGAATTTCCCAGAGAACATTGTATCACATCACCAGTCATGCATCAAATCAATCAAAACACAGATTAGTCATTGTAATATGCTATTATGAGACCGTGATTGGCTGTCATTAATTTGTACATCACCTTAGATGGAGATGTCACAAAGGTATGAGTGCATGTTGGCTCTCTGTCCCTTGTTGCAGAGGCATTGGTTTATACCAGTATACCTGTGTATAAGTGCATGCAGGACTACCTGTTTGCTCGTGACTACGTGGCTCATAGTATACTGTGTTTGACCTGTTGGTCAACTGCTCGGTGGGCCACTGATTGACATATGAGATGGTGATTGGATTCTAAGCCCAGAGTCTGAAGTGTGACAGCTCACACCATCCCTGCTAATCACCTCATTTACTCAAGCTACAGGACTCCTCTGCCTGGGGCCACATAATACAACATTCTCTTACTGTTTTTCTGCCGTGCTCACAGTTCTTCCACGCATCCATCGTGGTAGTGACCTCTCCTGATGCTGTGCCCTTCTTTCAACTTTTGACTGCTTTTCTGTTTTTTAAATTCAGAGAATCCTGCCTTGCTCTGTGTATCATCTATCTGGATTAATTTGTGATATGGTGGTGGTGAATGACAGGTGATTGACAGCGCTAGCTCCTCACCAGCTGGGCCAGGCAGCTACATGTCACCCCAACTGTGCATGGAGTCATGCTGGTAACTAATTTCTTAACTGCTGTTTGACTCATGCTTCTATCACCTAGCACCTCAGGAACGCGGAAAAGTATTTGTCCGCCAGCACACAGAGCACAGGTTTTGTTAATAAAGACATACTCTTATTCAGTATTATTTATAAATCACAATTTTCCTTAGGTTTTACTATATTAATTTCCAATCCCACTGTCAGCACCATCTCGGGTTCTGTTGGTTCCGTGATAAGGTCACCACGGTAACAGTTGACGTTTCCGAGAGTTCAAGCTGCGGTTGATGAGCAGTTATTAGCCATGGCGCCTGAAGCCAGAATTAACCCATGGCCCTGTCTGAGCAGGTAGGGGAGTGTTAGGTGTTTAGACAAGATTAACACGTACTCATAGACACATACACAAACATTGCTGACTCCCACACATAGAGATATTGACATTCATGCAGCAGCATAAGCACATACTTATTGAGAAATGCACGCATGCATATATGTGACACGCAATGTGTGTGAGAATTTTCTCAATCACTCATATTAAGCCGACACAGGCTTCTTTCACTAGTTTCACAACGCAAAATGCTTTGAGGATGAAGCTCTGAAGAATGCAGATGGTACGCAATTACATTCTCCTTACCTTTGTCTGACCCTTTAAACTGGCAGGCTATGTGCCTGTGGGGTACTGGGGT